TGGTTTCCAGTGGCTGGGTTTTGGATTTAGAGTTGAATCAACCAATATATGTCCTCACACATGTATTAAAAATGTTTCTATTCCCTCACTAATTTCTACTCTTGTTACTCCATCCTTCTAGTGGGTCACAGTGGAAGTATTTGCAGATTACTACGGTTTTCTCCTTCTGCTATCCCTTGATGATTATTATTCTGAGGATGTTCCCGTGCTTGGGGTGGTTTGTGTCATCATATATTTGAGTGAGATGGCTTACATTACACAGACATCTTTTCAATGCTGGATGTTGGTTTCCCTGATTGATCATTCAATTTCTCACATCGTTATTAAACCACAACTTATGCCAGTTCATGGATCGGGGAGTACTTGAGGTGAAGACAGTATGGTCTTGTTTCCTATCCCCACCAGATGGCTGGGTTTTGGATTGTAGTTGACTTCCCATCGCTATGATCCTCTTTTATACCCCCATTGAATGTTGGTGGCCTGGGTTTTGTACTGTAGTTGACAAGCTGGTGGTATAACCCTCTTCCCCACCCTCACATGGATGTTGATATCCGGTTGCTGGGTTTTGGACTATAGTTGAGTTACTGATGGTATGATCCTCATCCTGCCCTCACATGGATGTCATTTCCCGGCATCATGGGTTTTGGATGTAGTTGACTTGCTGTGTACATTGTGCATTGTGCCCTTTTCGTAGTTAAGTTTGTGCAGTATATGCATCCATTCTACTGAATTTGAGGTGAAGACAGTGTGGACCCTCCTCCTGCCATGGATCAGAGGGTATATTTCCAATTCCGCTTGATTTTGGACTTGAGTTACACCCTAGCCACTCTACACCTTGGAGCACATCCAGTTTCACTTTCCCCCAACATTACTGTCTGTAGAGGATTCATCTATTGCCTCTCTTTAATGGGACTGAGATTATGATATATTGTGATTTGGATTCCAATCCAACCATCTTCTCTCCTTTTTGGTTGTGCTTCTCCACTTTTTCTGCCAGTGTCTGTGACACCTCTTTTCACACTGGGCAAAGAGTATACCTGGTATGGAAGTGGTGTGGTCTCACACGTATGGCTCTCTGTTAAAAGGATCATCAATACAAGGTGTTCTTTGGATGCTTCTTCTTGTCCCTCGCACCATTCCCTCCACCTCTTCAATGTGGGATTCTAGCTATACATGTGAGAAGAGCTAATGTATTGTATCAGAAGTTATAATTTTCCTATACTGAAAATATATTTCCAGTAGGTACTTACCTCCTTTCACACTTCCCATTTGTCCTTCCCACTGAAAACCTGTGCTTCCTTTTCTGTCTAAACTCGATTTGATAGTTTGGTAGAATTGAATAGAGGGAGTCACATGTCAGGAGGGTGTGTCACACTCCTATTGGTGGAGGGTTGTCTTGTGGGGTACGTGGGAGTGCAAGGCTTGCATACAAAGGTTAGCACTGAATGAGAATAGCTATATATGTGAGAGGAGGAAAGTATGTATCAGATATATATTTTCAGTATAGGAAAATTATAACTTCTAGAACTTTCTTTCAAGAGACAGTTTTTACAATTCCTTAAAAAGTTTTGGAATTTATGAATCTTGTGAACTTTGGTTTGTTTGCAAAAATGTAAAGTTCATTGTTTACAAAGCAAATAAAAATACATTTGACCTTAACCCTTTCAGGTTTTTAAAATATGTACAACTTTCTTTCTCTTAGACTTTTTTAAAACCACCTAATTTTTTTACAGGTCATTGTCATGTTCTTCATTTGACTAATGAGTGAAATAATTCTTCCATTAAAAATATTTTTCTAGTTTTTGTCTTTAGTCCATGACTTTTACATATCTTCAATGTCAGTTGGTATTTTATTTTTATGAACTATTTATTGACTTTTTTTTTTGAAGCTTTTGATGTTTGAAACATTTTTCTGTAATGATTTTTGTTTATTATATTGAATGTAATAGTTATATGGCCCAAATATGTATTAGTTCTTCAACCAAATGGGACATGATATGGCCAGGTGGTTAGGGCATTTGAATTGTAATCTATGGGTTGCAGGTTCGAATCCATCCCACCAAACATGCTTACTCTTTCATCTGTGGGAGCATTATAATGTGTTAGTCAATCCCATTATTCTTTGGTGAAAGAGTAGCCCAAAATCTAAAGAGTTGGGAGAGGATCTTGAACAGATGTGGGAAGCATTTAGGGAAAAAATGATATGCTTACAGAACATATGTATTCCCTACAGGAAAAAAATATATTAACGGAGTAGAATAAGCCAGTATGGCTTAGTAAAGGTTTAAAAGATCATATTAGGGATAAACATAATAAATTCAAGAAATTTAAAATTACTGGAAAAAATAAGGAATTGGAGAACTATAGGAAATCAAGAGATCTGGTTAAAAAGAAAGTTAAAAGGGCAAAAACTGTATTTGAATGAGCATTGACTGAGAGAGTTAAATCAAACAATAAGGAATTCTTTAGGTATATGATGGGTAAGCAAAATGTTAGGATGGGGAGCTGATCTTAGAAGATTATGAGATGGTAAACTTATTACATTATATGTTTTCTTCAGTTTTTACAAAGGAAGATACAAGTATAATGCCTCAACCAGAGCACTTAATGTGTGGGGAAAATATTGATGTAAAACATATTATGTTCTGAAATTTTAAGAGAAAAGTTGGGAAACCTAAAATTGATAAATCTCCTGGACCAGACAACTTTTATCCTAGAGTTTTAAAGGAACTTAAAGATTTTATTTGTAAACCTCTAGCTAATATTTTTTATAGGTTATTTAGTTGTGGAAGAGTAATAGACGATTGGAAGTTGGCTAATGTCAGTCCAATATTTAAAGGTGATAAACATTGTCCAGGCAATTATAGGCCAGCTAGCCTTATATCATTAGTTGGAAAGGTTTTGGAGAGTGTGATTAAAGATGCATTGCAGAATCACTTAAAGCAGTTTGACATAGTGTCAAAGAGCCAGCATGGTTTCACTAAGGGAAAGTCTTTTTTTTAACAAATCTTCTGACATTTTTTGAGAATGTTACTGCAAGAGTTGATGAAGGAAATACTATGTATTTGGTTTACCTTGATTTTCAGAAAGCATTTGATAAGGTGCCTCACAAAAGACTAGTTACAAAAATTAAATCTGTGGGTGTGGGAGAAATGTTATTGAATTGGATACGAAATTGGCTGGAGAGTAGAAAGCAGAGAATAGTGATAAAGGAGTTAGATCTAACTGGATCACAGTTACAAGCTGTGTGCCTCAGGGCTCTGTGCTGGGTCCTCTGCTGTTTGTGATTTATATTGATGATATTGACTCTGGAATGATTAACAAAATTTAGAAGTTTGCAGATGACATTAAGATCTTTGGGGTGGCTAATTATATCAAAAATCCTGCAGACTTAGAGGGAGACTTGGATCATTTGATACATTGGGCCAATATATGGCAGATGATGTTTAACTATCCAAAATGTAAGGTGGTGCATGTAGGTTTTCACAATTTAAATGGGAATACATTAAATACTGTGGTTGAAGAAAAAGATCTTGATGTTGTGATCAAAAAGTCACATAAGCCATCTAAATAGTGTATTGTAGCTAACAATAAGGTTAATAGGATTTTGGGTAGCATCTATAGAAATATTGAATACAGGACAAGAGATATTATTGTTTCACAGTACAAATCACTTGTAAGGTCTCATTAAGAGTACTGTGTACAGTTTTGGGCTCCCTTCCTAAAGAAGGACATTGAATTGTTGGAGAAGATTTAGAGAAGAGCCACTAGGATGATACCTGGGATTGTCCTGTGAGGAGAGACTAAAATCTCTAAACTTATTTTCTCTGGAGAGTAGAAGGGTCAGAGGGGATTTTATTGAGGTGTTTAAGATTATTAAGGTATTGATAATATAGATCTATCAAACTTTTTTGGGTTTAGCAGTGAAAACAATAGGATAAGGGGTCATACATTTTGGCAGTGTAGGAGTCGTCTGCGGTTTATACAGTATTACTTTTCAGTCAGGGTGGTTGGCTTTTGGAATGAGCTGCTTTCAAAGGTGATGTAGACAGAAAATTTAACTGAGTTCAAGAAAAGATGGGATGAATACATGAGTAGTAAAGGGTGGTTATAGTTGGGAGTTGGAAGGGACATCCTTGATGGGCTAATAAGCTCCTTTTTGTCCCTTTAAAAGTTTATGAATTTTATAAGAGTTGATAGTGGGTGGTAATCACCAGCTGCCTTTTTTCTAGTTTTGCACTGCTAAATTAGGGATGGCTAACACAGATAGCCTTTGTTTACTTTTGCATGAAATGTAAAACAAACCAAATTCACCCAAACTTTGGTTTGTATTGGAACCATATCACCTGTTTAATTGTGGTATTTTTAAACATAAATGTAAATACGGTGGGTTTGATTGTTCAAGATGCTAACCGGTAACTTGGATGACCCAATCATGTTTGATCATCTGTTGGTCATTTATGTTTATATAGTATGTGTAGTTGGTTAAAGACTCTCAGTTGAAAATTGTATAAAGTAATAGGTAAGCCTCTTTCTTCATATTTAATGCAAATCATTATCATTATTTTAGTGTAGTGTGTTATGTTCATTATTCACTGAACACACTTAGTGTTTAGGCAATTTTTATATAAACATTTTTATGATTTTTAAGTTTTAGGAATTGGCATTCAAATAAGTATTTTTGATATGTAGTTAAACTAAGTCCCATTGAAAAATTGTACAAAATGTTTAATTTTCATAACTTAATTAGGGAGAAAATTATAGTTTAACTAAGTGTATTTAGAACTAAAAAAATTACAAGAAATACATTTTGTTAGAAATATGTGTAATTAGTGACATATAAGGCCCAAAATTAATGTTTCTTGGAAATAAGGTATGTGTTAATATGTATATATTTTGTTACATTTATATATGTGCATTTTGTTTATCAACAAGGTGACTTTTTGAAGTTGAAGTGCTACACATATTTATAATTAAATAATAGTTTTGTGTTTTTCTAGGAGAAATTTCTATTCTGATGATATTCACACTAAATGAGCATTCAACACAGTAGTATGAAAGAGGATCAGAACATTACAGAGGTATTGTTATGTAGATAATGTCAGAATTTCCATGACAAGTGTTTTATGTGATGAGTATTTTTTCAGATTTTAATATCTGGTTATTTAGTACTGTATATATACTTAAGTAATAGTTGACCCAAGATTTTTGACAGAAAAATCTTCATTTTTTGATACAGTACTTCCCTCCTCTCACAAGATAGCTATTCTCATTCATTGCTTCCCTCTATTTGCACTTTCTCAGATGATGTCGTTCCCTCTGGCTCTCAAACACATTATCACCCTCCTTTCTTCTAGTGGGGTACAAGAGTCCTTACCACTTTCTAGTACCAAACCACTGGGGTGGTTGACCATGGAGGCATTCTCCTGAAAGGGTTCCACACAAAGATAAGTATAACCATTCAGTGCAGAGTAGGGTGGTTTTGTTTTGCTGGTGTAGATGATGTACTGTCCTCCAATTTGCAATAATTAATATAACTGAGTGAGATGTCAGAATGCAGTTTACTCCTTTGATTGGGAGCCTTCATTCTATCCTCACATAGATGTTGGTACTCCATGGGCAGGTTTTGGATTTAGAGTGAACCAATCAACATAAGTCCTCACACAGGTTCGGGTTGTCTGTCTTCCTCCCTTGATTTCTTCATATGTGTTGTGAGTCACAGTAGTGATATGTGGGATTGTACCGGCTCTATTTTTGGCTGTCCCTTGTTCTCTCGTTTTATGGGGATGTTATTGCATGAGTGGTCCCAGCATGTTTCAAGGTTGGGGGGGGGGGGGTTATTTGCATGTGATAGACATTCTTTTGATGCCGGAGGTCCAGTTCCAGGATCTATAGCTTTTACCTCATCCTTCTGTAATGCCCGGGAATCAGACTGGTTCTCACTTCCCCAATTCTTGGGTTTGAGGTGAAGACAATGTATCCTCATCCTATCCTCACAGATGTCAGTACCCTGCGAGGAGGTTTTAGATGTAATTGACTTGCCAATTATGGTCTGCCCTACCCTAGCCACTCTATACCCTTCCTTCTTCACCCAATTTTTACATTGTGGGATTGAGTTCCATTATCTTTCTCTGATGAGGATCTCTTTTCTCTTGCATTCTCTCTCACTCAGATGTGCTTCTCACCTTTTCTACCCTGATATCTTAAACATTTCACACATGGGCGAAGAGTATACCTGGCTCAGATGTGGTGCGATGCCCCTCTTCAGATCTTCCGATCTGACTCTCATTTACTGAGGTATTCTTGAATGCTTTCAGGGGGTACGTCTGTTCTTCCCTTGCACCGGTCCCTCCTCCTAATCAATATGGGATTCTAGCTAATCTTGTTAGTGGTTGGAAGTACTGTATCAGAAGTTATAATTTTCCTATACTGAAAATGTATTTCCAATAGGTATTTCTCTCTGCTTACACTTCTCACCCTTCCTCCCCACATACTTCCGGTGCTTCTGTTTTCTGCCAAACTTTGAAGTAATAGTTCGGTAGAGGTGCATAAAGTGAGTGACATGCATCATGTGAGTATACTATGCTCCTATTGGTGGAAAGGTGATGCATGATGGTTTGCATGAGAGACATGCTGGAATCACTTGATTCTAATTGTGGGGAGCAGAAGACTTGTGGAATGCATAAAGCAAAATGTTTGCATATAGAGGGAAGCAATGAAGGAGAATAGCTAATCTTGTGAGAAGAGGGAAGTACCTATCAGAAATACATTTTCAGTATAGCAAATTTATTACTTTCATTTATCTTGTGTAAAAGTCGACCTAGTTTTCTCGGAAACCTAAGAGAGCAATCGCTCATCCCAGGCTAAGTCACACTTTATATCAAAAACTTGTGAAAAGGAACAAAAACACACAACTTTATCAACACAGACTTGGTTCCAGGAAGGGACCACATGACCATTTTTTACTTGTATATAGTTTTAATACTATAACTAGAAGGTCTTCAAATTGTAACATGAAACTACATTTGTTTATCATAAATAGTTTTAAACTCATAACAGTACACATCTATTTATACTTAAATCATATTTTGTTGACTCTTACTGAGCATGAATTCAATCTCTGGAAAGTATTGCTTGTGTAAAAGTCAACCCCTAAATTACAGCCTAAAACATTAGTCACAAAAATTTGACCTTTACACGAGTATATACAGTATTTCCAATCTCTGCTTGCCAAATTTGGGGAGATGGTTCCATATCCAAATTTGTTTTTTGTCAAATTATTTGTTTCTTAAAATTATAAACTTTTGGAATGGTTTGCCTGGTGTCATTTGTGCTTACAGTTTAAATTTATTAAACTTGTTAATTACCGTTTGACATCCAGTCCCAAATTTACTTTGGTTTTAACACTATGGTTTAAATTTTTTTAATGTTGTATTTTCCTTTACATTATCATTGATGCATACCAGTATTTTTCAAAATAATTCTAATGTCTATTGTGTCTCTGAAGAAATAATCTATTTCTGTTTTTGTCAGCCAATTTTTCTGTACATATTCGTGGTCTTAATAGTTTTGTTTTCAGTTTACTTACTGAGTATAAGTATTATTTCATTAGAAGTTACAGCTTTTACAGTAAATATTAAAATCTTCTTTACGATTAAAACTTGTGTACTTGAGAATGATCACACCAAAATGTCATAACCTGTTGTAAAATTATTCTTTGTTACTCTAAAAGCTGTAACTTGTAATGAAATAATATTCATGGTCTGTTTAGCTCTACTTTTTTGTTTTTCTTTACAAGAAGATCTGCAGGTTCTGTTTATTGACAGTGGATCATGTGAGGAGAGCTCTGTTTTAAGGAGTCTCGCTTCTTTTAGACTGGAAGTTGACTTATTAGATAGGTAGCTTGCTCTGATTGGAAGTTAATATTAATTTTTTTATAGATGTTTTCAAAGTAATTGTGCTTCATTTCAAATGTGGAAGGTGCGATCCCATTCAAATCCTGTGAAGGTACAGGTTGATTTAGCCACTATTATATGAAGATTAGGTATTAGATCTCCTTGATGCATGGGTTTCTTGAGACGGCTACTTGACACCTATTCTGATAATGGTTGAACCACCAGACATGAAAATAAATGTTGTTTTTTGTATAATCTTCCAGGTATTTTCTCCTCATTTGTGTTATACATTTTTCATCAAAATAAAAGAACACAATTATATAGTAAGTGTGTTATACTGTAGTGAATCTCCTTTCATTATGTCATCCTCATGTGCATCGTGTGCTTCTTTCATTTGAAGAGGCTATTCTTTATATTATCTCTCACCTGTAGGCTACACACATAATGTAATTTTAAAGAGCTTGTTGCATAACATTTGCAAATATCCATTTTTCTTCTCTATTCTGACTGTAATTACTACTTCACTCTCCCAAGACAAGTTAGCAGTGTGCAGAAACCTCACTTATAGTTTTCATGAACAGACAAATCCATTACAAAAATAAATTAAAATACTCTATCTTCTCATGAATATCATCAGTGTTCTGCACAAGTCTTGGCCATCTTATCTAGGGATCCTGGCATTAGTAATGAAACTATTCTCCCATTTGAGGCACAAAGCAATTTATCTGGTCAGGTGAAGCCATCCCAAGTCTCTAGTATTTATTACTTTTTGCCATGCTGAAAGTCTGTCGTAGACCCACTTGTGTGAATGTTGCATTTGATTATTTGTCTTACTCATTGTGAGAGAATGAAACCAGATAATTTGTCTTTTCATTGCAAAACTTAGAATATTTGTTCCATCTGGTTCATGACATGTTAATTTCTTTTGTGACAGTCATAAAGAGCAGCTGTTTCTTCCAGAATCTATGCTGCTTATCAGCTGAAACTTGTATTAACTCTTTCTTTAGGAATTTCTCTGGTTTGGTTAATTTCCAGTGAGTTAGCACTGGATGTATAATGGTATTTGCTGAACAATTAATTGATTACCTGTGGTTAATTGATTAACGCAGTGTTCCTCAAACCACGATAAGTACAATCAAAAAAGTTTTACCTTTGTTGAAATCCTTTAGGATTTTATCTGCTAATCTCTATTATTTTACCCACTCACAGAGAACTGAAGAAAGGGATGATAAATTATATATTGAATATTAGAAGATTGGAATCTGATCTTACATGTTGTAAAAAAAAAAAAAAAAAAAAAAAAAAAAAAAAAAAAAAAAAAA